AAGTAAACCGCAGTTTTGTTCACAGACAGACCAGTCATAACTTAGCAATAAATACAAGAAGTGCATTGGCACTTCGCCCTAACTTTTCTAATAAAAAGGAAAGTTTTCATTAATAATTGTCATAACAAAAACCGAATCATTTTATCCTGCATTGGCTCCACAGCTCTACCCGTAACTAACAAGTGCACAGAAACGATCCATAAATCATTAACTTGCACCCCTGCCCGCAGAGCCGCGGTTCAGAGCGGCTGAAGCTGAGCCACCAAGACCAGCTGCACCTCTTTTCCGTGCCCTCCGCACGCCAAAAGCTCTCGGGGGCCGTTTGCCATCGCTGGGCTAACGCGTTCGGAGGCGGGATGCCCGTCCCACCGGGGTGCTCATCCCCGCTAGCCAAAGGCACGCTCCGACCGGGATGCCCTGGGGGTGCCGAGGGAATGTTCCCCCCCACAGCCCTGCCCCTAGAGCTGAAACTCTTTTTAAATTGTCTTACGTCTTCCCATCTTTTCGGATGAAGACTGTCTTTTCCGAGCCACCTCGGCATCACACTGCTATAAAAGAAAGGGCAAAAGGACCCCAGCCCTGTGCCGACCCTGGGGAAATTTTGATCGGGAAATTGATAAATGTCCTCTCTGGGTGGCAGGAGGAAAACGATGGCTCCGCTAGCGGGTCTTCCTTCCCGAAGGAATCGCTGTGGAAAGCGGTATTTGCCATGCACGGTATCCCACCGGCTGCCAGACTGCTGAGAAATGGTTCATTAAAGATAGCTTTGCATTTGTATCTGTGCTTCAGAGCCTAAATTAAAATGGCCTACGGCAAGAATTGGTCTTTTTGATGGAAGAAGGGATGTCTTCTCACCGTGGAAACCAGCTGATGAAGCGCAGGCTAGAAAGCCCAATATTGGACACCCAAGTTAAAAAACACCGCTGATAAAATCCTCCCCCGCTGAAACTTAGGGAATTGTAAAGGCAGCCACAAAACTGGTGATCCAAAGTGATCTCAGAAGCTCCTCTCTCATACAACAGGGAATAATCGGCAGTCCTGTCCAAGATGCACGAGCTCCTTTAACCTCCTGCGTGGCAGGTGCTCCTCCAGACAGAGCTTCGCAGCGGCTTCGGCCACCAAAACCATCCGCCTGTTTCCAAACCTCAAACTGGGCATTTTCTGCC